TAAATGGGAATTACAAAAGTGGCTGCACCAACAGTTGCTACACTGACTGATCAGTAATGTTAAACCCTCCGAACTGTGCCTAGCAGATAACAACAGCTTCCATGAGGGCACGCAGTAGGACTGTAATAAGTAGTACAGCACATCCACTCTCCACTTCAGAGTGGACTTGACATCTAAGACCTTTGAGTTTCAAGTATCCATGAAAAAGCCCCCAAGAGTACTCTGTGATTTTCACTAACCCGCTCTGTCTCATCCTCCCTGTTCGAGCCCAATGCCCATGCCTGAGCCAATGCTGAGGCCAGGGGGTTCCAAAGCACTGGACTACTGGGGCCTCAGGTCATGTGTGCCAGCTCTGAATTTGGGGACAAGGAGCACCCACCCTACACCACACAGACTAGGAAGGGAGAAGGAGGGATGCCCAAAGATAATACCAGAAATACAGTGCACAGAAGTCACACCACCTACTACAATACACCTTTCTCCCTTCACAGAAATAGGCAAAAATCAGTTCATGAAACTTAATTATAAAAAAAAAATCGAAAGGACGATTATATATGAGAATACAAAGAGAAAACATGTTATTCAATGAAAATATTATTTGAGACGGTAGGACCTGCACAAACACAGCCTGACACACACACACAGGAAGAAAGGCAGGGGACAGAAAACAAGCAAGTTCGGTGAAAGGCAAAGGTGGGGAGACACCACGCACTAAAAACAAGCCACGAATTTAGGAATCCCTGTTATCTTGTACAATGCAAACGTTAACAGGAAAGAGAAAAACGACTGCCAGAGTCTTTCCCAGAAGCTACAGAAGCAGCTTTGAGGGAGGACTGCGGGCTGATACTATCTAAAACAGAAAGAAATCGCCGTCAAGAACAAACATGCACACGCAAGGGTAAAATAGCAACAAGGTTTAAGGCTGCAGTTATTTTGACAATTCTTGGATGGAGTGCCGCCAACCGAGGGATGCTGGTCCATTACCAAGGAAGGTCTGTGGAAGGGAAAGGCGGCCCCCGCTCACACACTCTTGGTGAGGAGCTGCTCCCACGCAGGTGCCTCCCCCTCTCGGCGTGCAGGCCAGAATTCAAGTTCAGTCTTTCATGCCCGCTTCACGCGCGTCTTTCATTCTCTCTGCCCCTTCATTCACCGACCTCTTCTGCTGACACTATGCAGACAGAAGGACCGTAACAAGCCACTACGACGTGGCCTTTCAGCACCACTGTCATCCAAATGGCATCCGTATCACCAAGCAAAGGAATCAAGTTTTGTTCTGCAGATTCTAGGAAGCTCTTGACTGATGTTGCTATTATAACCATGTAACAAATTATAGCTTATCTCAGTGGTTGAATATACTTTCACATCTCTTAAGAATGCTTTTGAATAGTTTGATAGACACCGCAATGAGGATGGTCACAGGTGTCGCCTGAAGAGCTAAATATGATGAATGGGTGACGGCTGCCTCCGGTGCAAGGCAACATCCAGACTCAGATTTAACACCGAAGTGAAAAAATGATGTCAAGATATGACACAGTTATGTGATTAAAAAGTATTTCTTTGCCTTAAACCGTCAGCTCCTTCAGGACAGTCTATTATTAATAGACACGAGAGTCAGTGACATTTAATAAATGTTATACCTATTTAATGTAGATCCTACCTACTTTTTATCAGACAGATGGAGTTAACGTTCCCACAAGGGGCGACTACCTTCTTGAAAACTCTTTATTTCTGCTGCAACTTAGAGAACTGCTGGGCCTTGCAGAGGTAGGGAAGGACAGCTCAGGGAGTGGGGAAAGCGGGTGCAGAGGCAGAGTAGTAACGTGAGAGAACAGAGGAAGTCATCTTCCAAATGCCGGCCAGACTCAAGTAACTTTAGTTAAATGCGTCATGTAAGAAAAATTTGAAAAATCAAAGTAACAAAGACTTCCTCTGAATGCCGAACGAGGATTTTCCCAACTGCAAGCTAAATACCACTCTCTCCTGTACTAGATTCTCGGTCTCTGTCTCACTGTCAGAATTACCTGCAGTTCGATAATGTGTACTTTCAATCCTTCGTGTGAAAGAAACATTAAAGCGAAAACCATTCCCTAAAATGATCAGTTCTGCAGTTAACTATAAACTTATGTTCAACTATGACGTAAGCCGAGAGGCCAATACGTGTTCCTTAGGCATTTGACTTGAAATCAACCATTCTCAAGAAGTCACATCTTTATCACCAGGGGGGCTCTGGCAAAGTACACTATTACACTGCGCACCCCAGCCCCCAATTCTGATGCGCCCTCTCAGGGTGTAAGGAGGCAGGCAGGTGGGGGTGGGGTGGAGGTTAGGGATAAAAACACTTATCGCGTGCGATTACGAAACAGCTGTTTCCCTCCACTCTACCACATTAAAAACCAGCAGACTAAATACGTGTCCTCAAACCTATGGATCTGCAGTTTTCTAATTCCGTACAAAGAGTGCACTCACTTGAGAGCTGGGAGATCTGAGTTCTCATTTTGCCCCTTAGCTGTCCAATAACTTCTTTGCACTTCAATCAAAATGTGATATTAGTTTCATATGAAAATTGGAAGTCTATATAACTTCACAGAATTGCTCTAAGGATAAAATGTAGTGTGAAGTGTGAACATCTTTAAAATGTAATGACTAAGGAATTATCATCATTATTCAAACCAGCCTCACTCGGGGGTAAAAGCACGGAGGAACTGGGGTTTGTCCGGTCTGGCCGAGAAGCAACAAGACGAGACCAACCGCCAGGAGCCAACGAGAAATGAAAAGGACTCCTTGAGCCTCGCCTCCTTATCCTCCTACTCCAAGAGACGGGCCGAATCAAATCTCGCTTGAGAAGCGGGGAAACGGGATTCCCACTAATAAATTCTTCTGAGTAGTCGACCTCACCAGAAAAAGAACTAATGGACTAATGGGATTCTTCAAGCAAAATATTTGGCCTTTTTAACTGAAAACTCTCACTGGACGCTTCCACATTAGAGTATTAAAGAAAACAGAGTAATCTAACCAACAGAGAACTTAGAGGCTAGACTGAAATTTTTAAAAACTAGGTGGCAGACTAATAAAAATTTATACAACCTTACCCTTAAAAATTAAAAAAACAAAAAAGTGCCAGCGACTTCACTCCCCCATCCCTCTCCAATTTCCTATAAAATAGCCTATAGTAGTAAGTACAATGAAACTCATATGGTGCCAGGCGGACAGTGAGTGCCAAACAAATATTTGCTGGATTCCTTAATTTCTCACATCTTTAATACTATGTTAGTGCACCTATATGGACGCTTTGAGTTTTTTTTTAGTCTATTGAAATGCGAATGGTAGCCGAAAAGACAAGTGAGTCCTGCAAATCCTCGCTTTGTGTCAGTAGCTGCTACTTGATCACGTGGCCCTCTCTACCGAGTGTGAGCACAAGTAACTCTTAGACTCAACCATAAGCTACTTAAGTTGTTTGTGGGGAACAATCACAAGTACAGCCATTAGAATGAAAAGTGAATTCATTCTGAAACCAGAATTTCAGACAAAAGCAAAAATATGAATAGACGTTATTAGTGACAAGAACTAGAAACCGTGGGTCCCAATGAAACCTATCATAGCTGCTGCTGACCCCAGAACAACACAGAGACCGGGGCACCCACCCCCACACTGCCGAATATCCCCTGTAACTTCTGACCTTACAGTTGGCCCTTCCCATGGTGGATTCCACCAATCAGGGATGGAAAATACTGTTTTCCATCACCCCCCCCCCCCCCGCCCCCGGTTAGGTATGAGAAAAATACTGTTTTCGTTCAGCATTGGTTGAATCCACAGATGCAAAATCACGGATACAAGAGCGGACTGTATTTATTGGCGGCAGGGGGGAATCCAAGTATAAATGGACACAGGCACGTCAAAGCCCCGTGTTTGAGGGTCAACTGGAATGACATCAACTCAGCCACCCTCCACCCTGGAGGGAATCAACTTCCCCTATCATGACAGTGCAAGCCAACTTCCTACCCCACTTACACTCTAAGTGTACATACAATTTCCTCCCGAGGACACACACAAAATCCTACAGTTCTCACTCAGTGGAACGCAATTCCTTCCTCACAATTCCACCACTCAGACTGTGTTTCGGACACAAATCCAACGACAATCCGAAAGCACTCGGAACAAGACAATGAACTCCATGGTTCCCTTACTATGGCTAACCCCTCCGCCGCATATCCTAACTGCAGACGACGGGGTATCATTCAACATGCCAACTAGGATGACAAAGTGTCTAAATACCTAGAGTTCCTCAAATTAGAAGTTCCAGCATTCTCTAGTGTATTATACGAGGGTAGTGGCTAATCGGGCACGTGGGTGAGGTTTAATAAATGTGGTTCCCTTTATCAAGATATTCAGCTGAGAAGTGAAAGTTTTTTTGTGAACAGACTTTCTTGGCTAAAGCAGCCTCAACGGCAACTTTAAAAGGGGGCTACCCTTTGAAATAGGAGATAGGTAAACGTACACACCACGGATACTTACATGAAATACTACTTCTCCTTAAAACATCCATACCCATGCTGAGAGCACCATCTACTCCACTTTCGATGAGCCAATTCTGGCCAAAAACTCCGTCCCTCCGCATCTCAGGAAGCTTAACCCTCTCCCTTTACAAGTTTGATTCACTTCGACAGGCAATCCGCACAGACGGGAGGATGCCTCATTCACCAGCCAGCCAGAAAATTCAAGGCCCAACTTTCTTCTCCCGTGCACAAGCATTTATTTGACTTTCCATCTCGCCACCCACCCCGCCCGCCCCTTCTTTCTTATTCCCTAAACTCCCTTCTCTCCCTCCCCACCAGTACTTAGACCCCACCCTGCCTCGGATCTCCAACATCCCGGCATCTCACCCCCAACCACCAGCTCCAAAGCCCCTGCAGCACCGAAAGCCCACCTCTCATCGGACCCACCAGCCCCAAGAGCAGAAGCTCAGACTTGAGCGACGGGAGGGGGCTGCTCTGCAAACCCACCATACGAAGTCGTTGCTTTTGTCCTCGTAGGAGTTGATGAGCCCGTTGCAGAGGGGGGCGAGCAGAGGTCGCTTCCTGCTGCCGCTGCCGAGGCTGGAGCCGCTCCCTCCTCCGCCGGCGCTGGGCCTGGCCGCGCAGCTGAGCCGGGACAGGCCCGCGGACACCACCCCGCCGCCGCTCCCGCCGCCGCTGCCGGACACGGCGGCCGCCACCAACACAGGCCGCACCGGGCCCCCGACGCCGCCGGAGCCCGCGGCCTGGGCCGCCCCGCCGGACACCAGCGCCGCCGCCGAAGCCGCCACGGACGGGGGCGACGGGGAAGAGGATAAGGACGAGGAGGCGGAAGTCACCGAGGAGGCCGCCGAGGAGCCCGGGCTGGTCCCGGCGGAGCCTGACCCGGCCTGGCGGCTCCCGGACATCGTGACTCCCTCCCCTCCGGCCGGGCGCTCGGAGGAGAGGGACCGCGACCCGCCGCCGCCGCCCGTACCCTCCGGCTCAGTGCATCCTGAGGACGCGCGCCACGCCAGGAGGTGGGGCCGAGGAACAATAAAGTTGATTTTTGCAAGGCGACCACACAGCAGCGTCCGACGGGAGGGGGCGGAGGAAACTAATCAGGCAGAGTGGAAACCACTACCGCTCTCGAGGCCGCCGCCGCTGCGGTCCCCGCCGCAGCCAACCCGGGCGCGCCGAGGGCGGCCGTGCGCGTGCGCGAGCGGCGGAAGGGGCGGGAGCGGCGGGGGATACGACTTTAGACGCGGCCCGGGCGGTGCTCCGACACGCACGGCGCGCGCCCGGCGACGGCGGCCGTCTGGTAACGTTTGCAGCCCTCGGCGAGAGCTGTTTTTGTTCGTGGCGTACCGGCGGGCAGGGTTTTTTCAGGGGTGACCGGGCGAAGGAAACAGGAATGAATGGTCGGGGTGGCAGACTGATTGGAGGGGAAACCCTCAAAGAGCGACTGCGCACGCGCATCCTGGGTTACCCAGGGTCATGCTCCTGGCCCGGACGAGCGGCGCGGGCGCGGAGTGGCCGAACCACGCATGCGTGCGGGAGAGCCGCATTCCTGAACGTAAAGAGGGAGCGGTCCCTCTCGCGTGAGAGGCGGGCGGTGTGACCCAGGGGCGAAGGCACGACAGGTGCCTGGAAATAGGGAATTGAAGGTCCTGGACCTTGGTTGCACAGAAAGGACCCACAAGCTCCAAGCAGTTGAGAGCACTGGACTGGGAGGCGGGGACTCCAGGCTCTGCTGTTTGAACCCATTCCACAGTATCGTGACGAATAAATTAAGATGAAGTCAGTCAACAGTGCATTGTCAGTGGAAAACGTCGTGGCACATGTTACCAGTCTTACGGATTCAACCATGAACTCGTGCATTTTGAAAGTTACTTACCAAATTAAGCATATCAACAATGGGAGAACAAAGTATACCCAATCAGCGCAGCTTAGTCAGAAACTCCCGTTTAATGTGGATCTGGTATCATTCCAGCACAAAACAAGTAAGCCTGGCATTTAAAACCACCAGAAAATGAGCAATTTCTGGTAGGCGTTTTGGAATATTAAGAATTGATTACACCGTTTCATTTGCCTTTTTGAGAATCCCTGAGATTCTTGGGGATGTAAATTAGAAAAAAACTGAACTGGGTGATTTTTGGTGTCTTTGCTGTCATTCTCTGATTCTTAAATGGAAAGCTCACAGATTTAATTGCCCCCTTTGTTTTGAAGACTAAGGGTGAGGGCCTTTCCCTGCGCACATCTGCCCATGCTGAAGGGGGAAGGGTCAGGCGAGGGCCCAGATGAAGGCGGAGCACCAGACCTGGGCAGTGAGCTGCCAGAAGGCCGCTGTCCCCAGCTCTGCCTTAGCAGCTCGCCCTCCACTCCCAACTCAGGTTTCTAACTCAGAATGATAATACGGGAATGGGCTCCCCAGATTTCCGAGAGCCACCCCCCTCGCACGAACATTGCAATATCTAACCTTTGTTTAAATTCACTGCCAAGACCCACCTGGGAAAAAAAAAGACCCATATGAAATGTGAGGTCTTACTGACATTTTTACAGAGAGAGTTTCACCTTCGTTTGTGCTCCTGGCATATTTTATTTGCACTTATAATGTTGCATGTTAGTCGTGTATGTGTGAAGGCTGACAGGTTCAGCTTTGTATTCCCAGTGTGTAATGCAATGTCTGGCCTATGATAGGTAGTTATCAAATATTTCTCGACTAACAAATAAAGCAGTTGATCTCATTTTAATTGTTGAAAGTGTGCCTTTCCAACTGAATTATAAGCTCCATGAAAGACAGGACCATATTGGTTTTCAATGGACATTTGATTTATTTTTTTAATGAAGAAGTGCATTAATAAATGAATGCAAAGAATTTGATTAATATTTGTTGAACAACATTTACTACTACCTGTAGGCCTGGCGTAGGCAACGAAGAGATGAAGAAGTTTACAAAACATTGCTCCTACATTCAGCCAGTGTGTGAAATAATTGAAGAATTAGAAAAACATGTTTAAAAAAACAGAGACTATCACCAAGGAGCACATGCGAAAGGTTTAATGAGCAGAGCAGAGAATCACCGCAGGAGCCGAAGCAAGAACAAGTGCTGAGGGCCGGCCGTGTTGGCGGGGGGAGAGGCCTAGAGAGAAAAGTGGGCTTGGTTAATCAGGAAGTGTAACTGAAGTCATGAGCCCAGAAAATAAGTAAAAACACTTACATCCAGTTCAGATACCTATTTGATAGGGGCAAAGAGTTTATTCAGGAAAAATTCATCTGGGGGGAAGACTACGCAGCCTTGAATCCACTTTGGAAAATAACCTGGAAGCAACTGGAAACAAGGAAGATGCTAAGTGGGGGGGGAAATATATTCAAAGTGTTGTTGGGAAGATTAAGTTCTCAGCAGATTTATCTTTCAGAAGAGAAGGGAGAAGAGGAGCCACGAGACTAATTAGGAAAAAAGCACAGCAGCCCAAGTGTAAGTGGTGAGATTGTAGATTAGGGTGCTGACAAGGGAAGTAAGGGAACAGTCTGAGAAAAACAAAGGGATCTGTAGGAGCAGGTTACTCTCTGAAAGAATCTTTCCCATGCTTGAGGACATGACCCATGTCTGTGTGCAGCACTGTCTTTCTCGGTGGTTGGCACAAAGGCCAACAAACTGATTACATAAAAATGACGGAGTACGAACAGCAGTGACTCCAAAGATGAGTCCAGGAATAACAGCGTGATGACAGAGTTGGAGATGGCCAGCGGATAGTGCAGTGTCGGATGCACTGGATGATTGTAGCATGAACATACCATCAAGTAAGCATGTCCAGGCAGTGGTTAAAAGTCAGGCTAAGGCACAGGAGAAAGTTCAGCTCATGAGAGAAGTACAACTGCAGGTTCCTGAACTTGGCCTCCAGATTCTGACTCTACAGGTCTGGGGTAGGGCCTATGAGTATGCATTCTGACCAGCACCCAGGTGTCTAACCTTTTGAGACACACTGATTGATACTGTAGGTAATGTAAGAAATGTATAAAAGTCCCTTCTAGGTAGCTTATTCCGGGGACAGAAAGTGACTTGACCCCAGTTTAGAAGACTCCAAGGGAAAAATCATCAGTGCTTAGTATTACCACCTTTGTAATACTTTGGTAAATAGCAGATAAGTTAATAAAGACTTCTGAAAGCACACAGTCCTTGTTAGTTTTTACTGGCAAGATCTTCTGGGGAAGCGGAAGAGAGGAAGCGTGACGAAACACACAAGCACGAAAGGGAAGTCACACAACTTAGGAGAAGAAGCAAATAGGAGAAGGGAGAAAGCATTCATGAAAAATGAAAGTAAATATAAAATACAAACAAAGTTCTAATAATGAAAAGAATTTCATCTTGTCGTTAAAAACATTAATTAAATCCTGTGGCAGAATGACAAGACAAAGTCCAAGGTCTTCCACCAAAACTCTGCTACTGAAGGAAAATCGAACGGAGTTCAGATGGAATGGAACTCCCTAGAGAGTCAGACTTCACAGGCGTATTCCTAAGGTGTCTTATCCAATATAATATTCTAGGGAAATGACGCTGCTAGTTTTCATCTCCACCCAGCTCTGCCCTTTGGTAACCAATCTCGAGACAGGATCCTCCCGAAAAAGCTGTATTCACCTGACTCGCCCGAAGGGTTTGCTGTTGGCCCTGTCTTCTGTTTAACCAACTCTCTCACCAGATCTCTCTATAAATAATAGCTTCCTGTTAAGTCTTTTTTTCTCAATTTAATGTGTTTGCTCTGTTAAAGAGAAAAGATGGAGGATGTGCAATAAACATGGCATTAAAATGCTAAATTGATTAGAAAAAGGAGAAAAATGTTTCCTGTTAGGGTGGACAAGAAAGAAAAGTTTCTGTAACCTGATTGCGTGAGAAGGCATCTAGCAGAAAATTAGCCATAATCTACTGTTGAAATGGAAAGCCCCATTTACACATTAAAACCTGAGGTAGACACTTACCCATGGAGAACTATGACTTCTTTGAGTTATTACTTGAGAACAATCTCTTCTCAAAATGTCTGTCACATGGTTTTCATCGTTAGGATTGCATCATTAGCTTCTGTTTGTCTCCCAGCCTTCCTTTATAAACCACAAGAACTTTTTAGAGAAGGTAAGTTAACAGTGCTAATAACAGTGCTTGGTGAGTCGGTCATCATTTTAAAACCAGTTAATTTCCTTTGTTAAAACACTTCTTTTGCAAGCTACCACTAAGCAAGTTCAGCCAAGATGTTGTAAAATACGGCTTAGGCCAAAGTATTGTAACAGCGAAGGGTTACAGGTGGAGCTGCATGTATGTGCATAGAAATTACCGAATAGGATTAGTCAGCTTTAAAAAATGATGGGGCAGGCGAGAGCATTTAAGATCTTGCTCCCCAGTATATGTCCTGAGTTTGGCTCAAATAAACTCAGAAATTTACTGCAAAATTAAAAAAAAATTTAGAAAAACCAACATTGACTAGAAAAACATTTACTTGTGTTACATGGTGAATTTATACGTAATTCATGAGTACATGGGGAGGTTCAGATCCACTTGAAGATCATAAGCCAAAACAAAATGAGGTCTAATGGATTCTGCAAAAACAGGACAATTGGTACCATCATGAGATGGAGACCTGTTAATATCACAGGGCAGGGGAAGAAAAACCCCACCTCACTTTGAAATTAGAACAGATCACATGCAAGTCTTTTGCTCTATGGATTTATTTGACCACCCATGCAGGTCATGGGGCATAACTAAGCGGTCTGGGAAAGGGTGTATAGCTACGGTCCAGAAATGTTTACAACAGTGCATTGTCTATTGTAGTTTGCATTGAGTCTCCTCCCTAGATTGTGAGTGATATTTCTTTCAAGATGTAATTGCTGGCAAATCATTCTATGATATCACCTCCAATACCTGCTTTTTTCCCCCACTGAATTCTGTAAGAAACTGGGAATGCCAGAGCAGCACTAAATTGTGGGCTTGTCTAAACAACATAGAATGACGATTGAATTGTGTGTGGATATAATAATTATCGTTAGATTTCTATCAGGTTGGAAGAGAATTTAGTTCAGGAGCCTATTCTTAACCTCTGAAGGTGAATTCAGGGAAAAGAAGTATTCCTTCTGACAATGTTTCCTCTTGTTCTCTGAGTCTGTGTGGATATAATTCTTATATCCTAAATTTGCTTTACTCAAATGTAGCAGT